AAGAGCATTATGTGCTTACATAGGATGGAGCGCCCTCTTACACCGCAAGCTCGTACAGAGCTGATGCAGAGATAATATGACTAACCTTTTGGCCAAAGATAAATGGCCTCCCAGTTCACCAGATCTGAATTCCATGTGGTCATAAATACTGTCGAAGGTAAACGAGAACAGGGTAAAGGGTGTCCACGATGAAATTGCCACACTATGAAATTGCTCTAACTTTTTAACCGTTGGGTAGAATTTAATGAAAATTTGGGTGGATTTAGTTCATAGTGCATTATTTACATCCTGCAAGTTTTAAAGTCCTGTGATCAAAACTCGCGGAAATGGAGTCGAAAGAACAGCTCGTGCGTGATAAAATCTTGCGCATTCATCACGAGAACAAGGATCTCTCGCATCGTTCCATCGCTAAAACGTTGGGAATCGCGAATTCCACGGTGTCGCGAGTGATTAAGCGGTTCGAGGAATGGTTGACCACCGATCGGAAGCCCAGAAGTGAAGGAAAAAGTATTCCGTACAACACCAAAAATCACAAGCGCGTAGTTGGGGCCTTCAACCGAAATCCGAACGCCTCCGTTAGGGATGTGGCTAAGAAGCTGCACCTAAGCCGAAGTTTTGTCCAGAAGGCCAAAACTAAGGCTGGGCTTCGAACGTTCAAGGTACAAAAGGCCCCTAATCGCGACGAGAAGCAGAACAAGTCCGTCAAAACCCGTGCCAGGAAGTTGTACCTCAACATGCTGACGAAATTTGAGTGCTGCTTCATGGACGACGAAACATATGTGAAGGCCGACTTCAAACAGATCCCCGGCAACCTGTTTTTCACGGCCAAGGATAAGTTCAGCGTTCCGGAGCATGTCCGCACTCAGAAGATGTCCAAATTTGCGAAGAAATTCCTGGTTTGGCAAGCCATCTGCACGTGCGGGAAGCGGAGTGCACCTTTCGTGACCCAGGACACGATGAACGGACAGGTGTACATAAAAGAGTGCCTCCAGAAGCGGCTGCTTCCTCTCCTGAAGGCCCACAACGTCTCAACAATCTTCTGGCCGGATTTGGCCTCATGCCACTACTCCAAGGACGTGCTGAAGTGGTATGCGGACAATAAGGTCAATTTCGTGCCGAAAATGTTCAACCCTCCCAACACTCCGGAGCTCCGCCCCATCGAGAAGTACTGGGCGATTATGAAGCAGCACCTTCTTAAACGACCTAAGGTAGTGAAGACAGTCGAGGAACTGAAGAAAGTATGGGTTTACATGCAAAAAACGGTTGATTCACAGGTTGTGCAGAATCTTATGGCCGGGGTTAAGGCCAAGGTGCGGGCATTTGCGTATGGACTGTAAATAAAATACGAGTAAAATGGTAAAATGAAGTTTAATAGTTATTTCTCAATCCCTGAAAATTTGATGGCAATCGGATGAAAACTCGAATTTTGCGAATCAATTTTGTGTGTGGCAATTTCATCGTGGACACCCTTTATTATCGGTACAGTTGAAAATCAGGAAATCCCACACGTGACAGTCGATTTTACTCTAGTTCTATATGTTAAACATAGTGTCGGACATAGTGCGATGTATTCGCACAATGATGCGCTAATAATGCGTACTAAGTCTGACGTTATATTTAATGTACAGAATCGAATGTCGCGTTAGGGGATTTCCGGTGTTCAACTTGACCGATAATGTCTCATTTTGACCAATTGAAAGCCATAATCAAACGAATATGGGAATAAATGCCTATGAAACGCGTGAATACCATATGTGACGCATTTTACAAACGTCTGAATCTGATCGAACAGGTTGAAGACAAGGCAATTCCAAAACATAAGCTATAATTCATCAATATTATATTTCCTTTCAGTTAATACAATTGAGCAATTATTCCCTACGAATTTGCAAAACGGTAATTTTTGTATTTTTTGATTTGGTTGAAAATTTGCAGAAACGTTGCTTATGACCGACTCTGCCATTTTGCATCTTCATATCACCAATTTGAATCCAGCCTTATTTTTGAAAAGGGCTTATAGAAAAATATCAAGCTTATCTTCAGAATTTTTTTTTTACTCGAAAACTGTTTACCCGATCGGTTTGGTGTCTTGAGCAATATTGCAGATAATGGATGAGACTTCTTGAAAAAAATAAGCACTCTAAAAAATAACCAAACTTTTTTTTTTTATTTCAAATAAAATCTTTAAAACAGTTTTTCTTAAAAAATAGAGAAATGATGGACAAAAAAGTTATGACTTTTTAAAGAAAACTCAAGTTTTTGGAAAAATATTCAAAATTTGATCCAATTACTTTTTCGACTTTATATAATGGAAGTACACCAAATTTACAATAAAAAAGCACGCAAGTCATTTTTTTTCTAAGTCGCACCGTTTACGAGATGTAGCGGTTTGAAAGTAGATCTTTTTTTAAATGTTGGAAGTTTTTGGCCATTTTTAAATGTATTTCGCGGTTCTCCAGTCAGAAAATTTTACAATAAAGATGCTCTTGGTAGCTCATCAATATATTAAATGTCTTCTAAAATATAAAAATAAAACAATGCGACCTTTTTTCATGCTCCTCATAGGTATAAACTTGTTGCTAAAATACCAACATGCTACCTAATGCTAAGCAATTCATGGTACCAAGTGGGTTGGTTTTGAATTACCTTCGTCCGTCTTTAAGCCAAATTGGACACGTAATCAACATTAGAATATAATTCGCTGTGTATCTGTAAAAGTTACTTGCTTAAGTTCAGTAATTCAGAAGACGAAGTGGTAGTTAAAATGAATACTTTTCATTATAAGTGCATAAACGTGTTTTAAAACAGTTGCTCGAAAAAATGCCGAAATGTTACGGATACTACTATACCGAATTGGTTGATCTGGGTTTTTCGGAACAGAACCAACTTAACAGTAAATTAAAAATTTGTTATTCTTGTCGTATACAGCTTTCTTGACGTATCTGTAAACTTATTTATCTCAAAAATAATTGCTTTTCTACGTACAGAACAGCAGTTAACTGCGAATAAAATTTATTTCATGTCTGACGGAGCTGCATCCCAGTATAAAAATCGGAAAAAATATTTCTAGTCTTTGCCTATTTAAGAATAAATATGGAATAGAAGTTGAATGGCATTTCTTCGCAACATCGCATGGAAAAGGTCCATGTGATGCTATAGGAACACTGAAACGTATGGCTACCAGAGCTTGTCTAGCTAGAGAACGTGAACATCCGATAAAAAATGCAAGGGAACTATACGATTGGGCTCAGAAGCGAAACGAGGATCAGCTGACTCAAATTTTCTTTTGTTATGCAACTACTGAAGAATATGAAACTCATCAGCACGAGCTCAACGAACAATCCTCAAGGGCTATAACCATTCAAGGAACTCAAATATACCACTAATTTATTCCTATTTCTGAAAGACAAATTTTTTTCCTCTGTTCGGGACCTAACACTACTGCGACCAGTAAATTGATCTATTGTAGTATATCCCGTGTCCTTAGTTTAGTGCATGTCGTATTACTCCATCACTATTGAGAAATGATGAAGTATTCGATTTTTTTACAGTTGCCACTCTTGCATTTATCGCAAGGATCCGACTCTAATTGAAAGGTCCCGCTATTTATACCCTTCGGAGTGTTGAAATACCCTCCAAAGGCGCGCCCCTTTGTCAGTCAAAATTGGATTCCTTAGCAACAAAATTAAGGTATGACACCGATAATGACCATGCATCAGAACCCTAGTCTTAACCACTTCAAACTACGGAACAACGAATAGAAGATTAGGAATCACATAGATGAAGACAACTAATTAATTTTTTTCCTTGTTTCAAGATCATCCTCGGTAGACAAAGCCGAGTCTTGTCACTATCAAAAAGGCATAAAAAGTAACAAGGACTAATCCTTGGATTACTGAAAAATCCTGTTCCCCTAGTTTGAAGTAGTCAGGACTAGGAATCGGTGGTAGATCTTACATCCCGTAACGTACCACGAAAAAGTGATCTACCCACGTTACGGGGCGATAGACAGAAGCCAGATATTTTTCAAACTGTAATAATGAAAAGACAATTGTTGATATTACTAAGAATTAAAGTATGGATTTTTAGTACAATTATATCAATCTTGTACAATGTAAAAATAAATTAAATCATTCTCGAAAAATCGCAATTATTAGTTCTTTGCATATGCCAACGAGCGAAATATATATTTGCAAGAAAATAAACTGTTTTAAAACATACACATTCCGGATAATTTAGATCATATCGATGAGCCAACAAGAGCATTTTCATCGTAAAATTTTCTGATCTTTCAGAAACAAATATTTTCGGAACTGGAGGACCGCGATATACATTTAAAAATAGCCAAAAATTTCCAATATTTTAAAAATATCTTCTTTCAAGCCGCTACATTTCGAAAACGGTGCAACTTTTTTATTGTAAATATGGTTTATATAATTATATAAAGTCAAAAAAGTAATTGTACCAAGTTTTTAATATTTTTCCAAAAACTTGAGTTTTTTTTTTAAATCAGAACTTTTTTGTCCATCATTTTTCCATCTTGACCTATAGTGCAATAGATGGCATTTTTTGTCCTCTAAAACATATAGATAAGCTTGATATTTTTCTATATGCCCTTTTCAAAAATAAGGCTGGATTCAAAATTGCGATATGAAGATGCAAAATGGCATTGTCGGCCATAAGGTTTTTCAACCAAATCAAAAAATACAAAAATAAACCGATTTACGAATTCGTAGGGAATTGCTCAATTTACTAAACAAATTTGAATTACTGATGCGAAAAAAAATACAGTTTGGATTTGTATGATAATATATTAGATACGGTGTATAATGAACAGTTTTATTTGAAAATATTAAAGTCTATTTGAAAATAACCCTTTCTGGCATCTCGGAGAGAATTTATTGATTTCTTGCCACGCAGGTCCCCGTGCGCAAAATCGTGCAAAACAGGTTAAACTTATAACGTTGCTTTATATTGGTTTTAATTTTAATTACTCTTACCTGCTAAACCCATCAGTGAGAGGCAATGCTGTAGCCAATTGATGATCATCCTGCTCTGTACTGAACTGTACGAATCCTTTTCGTTTTTCTATTGTACTCAGTGAGCCATTTTGAAGGCTTATGAAACTGTTAGATATGTCACAAACCGATTTTTGTAATTTTAATAGTTTTGGCAAAGGAAGATCTCTTAAATAGCTATATCCGTTGTTTGAATTATCATGGAACTCATAAGCCTGACAACTTTCAATACACTTGTAATCCATTAGTAACACAATAGTTGCGAACAAACATGTTCTAAGAAAGTCAAGATTCATTTTTAGCATCATAAATTACACCGCACATGTCTATCACAATCTTCTTTGTCAACTGTTGAACACGATACGAAATGATGGAATGCTGTTTTGAGCAGCTTGGATCACCGTTCAATGTTCTTACGAAAGGTGTATCAGTGCCTTTTATCAAGAAGACATATATTCCGTTACACCAGCATTTCAGATATTGTTTTGAATCTAACTAATGGGATATAGCATGGCAATAAGGAAAGATATCTATAGCAAATCAGATCATGTGGGTAGAATTTCATGTACGTAATCCATGGACGCCCCATCACTGAACGATCTTATGTGAGAGGCTCACTGAAGAGTGTATGGCAAAATTACTAGAACGTGACACTTTTCATGGGAGGGTGTGCATATAAACTTCATTTTTAAGTCTACTATACAAACCTTCTCTCTTCTTCGTTTGTTTGTCGCGCCTACAATGATTATTGCGTGAAATGCTCTTGCGGTGATTTCATGTTTCATTTTTACTCACCACTGTGACTAATTAAATAGCTATTAATACATAAACAGTGTGATTTAAAAAAGAAAGTGCTTATGAACATTTTTCTCTATTTTCAAAGCATAAAAAGAAGCTTCATACCTTGAACACACTACTTGTACTTTCGCTTTCAAGAACAAAATAATAACAAATATCGTGCTATATCAAGCACCTTACATCTTATTTAGATATGCTTTGAGCATTGGTAGCTTCGGGTAATTGCTGTGTTTATGACTAACTACAATACTAAACTTCTTTTTTCAGGCCTGAGGATTTACATCGCATTCGAGTTGAGCACATGGAAAGACAGTTAGCCAATCTGACCGGCTTGGTTCAGAAAGCATTGACACAGAAACCGACACAGCCAGTAGTTAGTAACAATCAAAGTACTTTAGGGCTGCCAGCACAATATCGTTCAGGTTGGTATTGAACATAGTAACACGGATCAATCAGTGATCATCGACGCATTTTTGTAATGTAGATTATAGTTTTGAATGTGTTTTTATTTGTAATCAAATTTAAATATTTGTTATAGGGGAAATGGATGTAATGTCGGCCTAAGTGCCCGTAGTCTATGATCTATAGGCCAACATAAGAGCCATTTCCCCTATGGTTATTAACAATTTTTTTTCGTAAACTTATTTTCATAAGATTATGATTAATGTATTTATGATTTCAGTAATCTATGTAAATGTTTAGATTCATGAACAAAATATTTGCACTGACTTTTTGCGTCAGTAGCATTTTCGCAATGACTGTTTTCTCTGAACGTTTACGATATTTTGATTTAAATAGGCAGTATTATCAGGGCTGTGCATTACACAAATTTATCGTTATCGATATATAGTTTTGTTTCAATGTCGGTATCGGTTTCGTATTGGATTCCAAATTACCAATATTGGCTTAGTTTCCGATAATCTTGGAAAACGTTCTTCTGATAGAACCAATGTTACCAGAAGAGAAACAATGGTTTAGGGCAGACTTGTAAATTACCTGAATCTAGAACCTGATCGGCAGTCGATCAGTGCAGACGTGTTTTAAAGTATCTCATCCCATCCGCACTCAGTTTTTCATCTATTGTGCAGTGAGGTTGATTGATTGTACTATTGTTCGATATATACGGAAGGCGCATATCATGAAGAAGGCCTTTGTACGGCCTATTGTGCGTGCGAGAGTGATACTTTATTTATAACAATAGAATTCTCAATCAAGATTATTCTTGTAGTGTCTAGATTTGCACCTTTTGGTTAATTTATGTATGACCTTGATTATGCGTGGAGTGCTATCTTTTAAGCGTACGGGTAGAACAAAGGGATAAGCTAGTCACTAGGCCATTCGGGTTTAGATCTTTTAATTTTATCTATTTATATTCCATGTTTATTACTGATTTATCAAATGCTCGATTTTGACTAAAAGTGTTTCCTAATCATTTACCCTCCCTCTAACGCAACTCTTTCCTTCCTGTGACATCTATGAGGGTAGTATGGGTTCTATGCACCTTCTTAAGTAGATGTTGGATTAACTTTCCCTCCGTTCCCCTGCGATTGTAAGGATGTGGCGAGGTGTATAATGCGATGCTTGTTTTGTAGATTTTTTTTTTGTGGGGAAAATCACTAATCTCAAGTGTTTTTATCTGCAATACGTATAAGTTATACGATAGCAACCATAATAACCGAAGTATGCAGCTTTCCACGCTCGGTAATGGCTGCACGGTTTTTAAAATGCAGTGTTCACATTTTTTTATTATGGAGGATTTGGTCGAATGCCATTTGGACGAACGCCATTTTGCCAAACGGTTTGAAGTTGCTGATTTAAGTTGCTGACTAGACAATTTGTATCTGTTTTTTAAAACACCGGGCATTGGGTTATACCGCGAGATTTGGAATCAGTTCATATAATTTTAGTAGGCTAGAGGCTAGTGGTTCTTTAAAGAATTGATAAATTTCATCCAAAAATCTACAATTTCAATGTTAATGTATTAAAAATATCATAAAATTAAGACGTGAATATAATCGTCAGTGGAATAGAGTAGAAAAAATGGAACGATGCGAAACGGAACGCAGAATAAAAAAAAAAACAGCAAATAAGGCTACGAAAAGCTTACAGTGAGGCAAATAAACGTAAGAATTTCATAAGTCTTGACTTATGAACGACACATATGAAGTTCATAAGCGTGACTAATGAATGATTTTCGTCTAACATGAGCTAGTTTTTATAGGTCTTTAACCATTTCACTTTCCCAAGCGTTGAAAGACGAGTGGTCAGCACACGGAGCCTGTAACCTCAACGTCCATGCTTCGGTTCCAGTCAGCTTCATTTTATATTTTTTTAAAAGATTATTTTCCATAAGGCAAATCAATGAAATTCATACCGATTTCTTGTGGCTAAAATTCATAAGTTGTTCTAATGGATTTCTTACGTTCTTTTTCCTCAGTGTAGAGTTCCTACAAGATCAAATTAAAAATGAACCCCGTTAATTTGCACAAAGTGTCGTTAAGATAAACGGGGGATCGACGGTATAATGATGCAATAAGGATAGTGACAACGTACATAAATAAATAGCGGCGCCGGTGGTGTAGTGGTAAGCGTGATTATATCTCACCCCAGCAGGCCTGGGTTCAATCCCAGTCGGCGCCGCCAAGATGTTCTGAGGCATCTCAGCTTGTTCGGTAAACAAATCAAGGAAAAAAACGTACACAAATAAAGTCCTAATAAGTCCTGATCTAATTACCACTTGATGCCTTACCAATACCTGATTTGTTTTGGACATGTTTTCCTTAATCTTTTAATTTAAAAAAAAAAATATAGCAATGTCATTATTGATGTATTTTATGTGTAATTTATGAGATATCTAATAACAGTGTTTATATCTTTTTATCAACAGACAAATCAGTGTCGTTTGAAAAATCTGTTTCGTTCAGCGATGATGTCCAGGGAACCCCTAAGCCTTATTCTCCTCATCACCTCGGTAAGTTTTACCTTATATGTAATGTAAGGCAAGGTATGCTGTGATATAACGTAAATGCCACTAGGGGAAACCCCCGGTAATCAATTTTCAAATCAATTGTAATAATCTAATCAAGTGTAATATGTAGTCTACACTGACTTGAAGAAATGAATAAATAAACGCTCCTATAGAACTCCTCTCAATAGTAATGGAAATACGACATACTGACAAAGCAATACTAAAACGGGAATATATTACAATAGATCGAAGTAATAGTTCCAGTGATGAATATGGCAAACAGCGGCGCCGGTGGTGTAGTGGTAAGCGTGATTACCTCTCACGCCAGCAGGCCTGGGTTCAATCCCAGTCGGCGCCGCCGGGATGTTCTGAGGCATAACATCTCTGATCACGGGGAAGTAAAGCCGTTGGTCCCTGGTTCATGAGTTGCCTCCCTGGCGTAGGTAGCATTGGTGCTCAGCACGGAAAACAGATCAAGGGAAAAAATAATATGGCAAACATACTTTTGCATAAAGACACTAATAAATGATTAGTAAACAAATAAAAAACACCCAAAACATCCATAAATCCGCGGCTAAAATCTCTAAAAAGTGTGGATTTGATATATCAATATAATCCACAATTGATGTAAAATTTAGTAAAATAATTGCAAAAACGAATTATATTATTAATGTTCCGTAAAAATTTCGACAATGAACGAAAAACTAACGAAATTGATCCATAGAAAATCATGTTTGCGCTCTAAAAAATATAGATATGATTTGACATATATGTTTGATGTTTTAGACTCAAACTTTTTAATTGACCCATAAACCTTGGAAAATTGATTCTCTACTGTGTAGCTACTCAGATTAACTGTCTAGCCAATGTTTTTTAGTCATAGGAGCGGAGCGCGGGCAAGCGTCTAAAATAAGCTTCTATAATAATTCCTCCCTTAGCTCAGTCGATAAAGGCGCAGCTACAAAGAAAGACCATGCTAGAGGTGGATGGCTTCGATTTCCGAAATAAGCTAATATGCGAAAAGCGATAAGTTTGAAACGCAACGAAAAAGAAGAAGAACAAGCTGAAAAACTTGTTATAAAGCTTCCTCTGGATGCTACGAAATGTTCACATCCGGTTCGATGTCCACATGGCGTGCGCCTTGATGTTCATCACTTTGATTTTCTTCAGTTACTTTGGGTTCTGAACTGTTGGGATCATCGGGACTGCATCTGATCGCTTCTGTTCATCGCTTCGGTTCTTGTTGAGTTCTTGGTTTGATTCTTCTGGATCCGAAAAATTCCAAAATAGGACACGTACTCCTCCCAGGTATCCTCGTTATCCGACTGGCCCAGTTGATGATCCATTCTTTTTTTTTTTTTTTTTCTTCAGAGTTTTTGGATATGCCAACTATAATGTGTTTTAAAACTTTCCATAGCAACACAGCTGTCAAATCGAGTGTCAAATTTATTTCATTCACGTTAAAATAGGTAACCCCGATAAGTGTTTCTTCAGCGTTTGGATTCCATTCCGTTGATAGTATTAATTCAAAATATTTCAAAACTACATACAATTTAATTTTTATTTAAATTTTAAGTAGCAATGAAAAACATTCTGAATGTGATTTTAAAAACCTACTATATGAATTCATATTGTTCTGATATTTTTTACACCGTTAAAGACGTATGTGGTCCACTATATGGTTGGCCACATTTCATAAAACAAATTATTGTATCAAACACATTCAAATATTCAGAGAGGATTAAGCTTCTAACGTTTTTTTTTGGGTGAATGGATATCGTGATAATGATGGATGGCTGGAGTTTATTGTAAAAGCTAAAGGACCGGGATATGTTAGGTACGAGAAAGAAATATTAAATGTATTCAAGTACCTGCAGCGCGAAGAAGTACAACATAAATATTTTTCGTATTGATCTACTCACGAGCAGTACGAGTATTTAGATGGATCAACAAGAGGTATTCAAGACAACTAATTGTACACCTGTTTATATTATGAAGAAGATCGGTAGTCGACAAATATTACAGATGACTAATATATATTAAAAGAAAATTGCTGTTTTTTTTCTCAATAAACTGATTACTGAACTTCAACATATTCAATGGATAGGGCAACAATTTTTACAAAAAAAAACTGCTCATGTTTGAAGGAAAGAGTCAATTTTAAAAGATCTTAACAAATTTTGGGCATAATAAGATGGATTGGTAATTCGTTTTTATCTACGAACGAACTGCTCATGTTTGAAAGAAGAAGTTAACCCCAAGAGAGTAAGCGTAATCCGATGGATTGTTCATTCGTCTTTATATATATATATTTGTCCCTTTGACTTTTCGTCCCTTCGACCTTTCGTCCCTCCGACCTTTCGTCCCTTCGACCTTTCGTCCCTTCGACCTTTCGTCCCTTCGACCTCTCGTCCCTTCGACCTTTCGTCCCTTCGACCTTTCGTCCCTTCGACCTTTCATCCCTTCGACCTTTCGTCCCTTCGACATATCGTCCCTTCGACCTTTCGTCCTTCGACCTTTCGTCCCTTCGAACTTTCGACCTTCGGGCTTTCGACCTTCGACCTTTCGTCCTTCGGCCTTTCGACCTTCGACCTTTCGTCCTACAACCATCGAATCCATCGGCTTTATGGCTGCGTCTTTACCGACTGAGCTGAGAGGACCTGCATAATACAAAATCAGTCAAATTTGAACTGTTAATATAATTGGCTTTTGTGTTGCTGTTCGGCTATTGCAGTCTGGAGTATTCAAAACGATTAGTTTTAAATTATACTCAACGTTTTGACACAGGGTTCCTCTTGAATACAAACAGAACCACAAAAGACAAAACCATTTCAGTAGAACATTCCTCTTTTGCCAACATTGATAGAGAAGAAAAAGTACAGTACATTGTTGTCCTATTATTTTAGTATGCAATGTATCAATTTAGAAACAATTCTATCCCATTTAAAAGAATCGACTTTTGGCTAGCTAGATTGAAGAAATATCTTTCCTTGCAGCGCTTTAAATACTAAAATCGTTTTGCTTATTTCCGAGATAATTGAGTCCCCTGATACATACTATGCTGAACCATGGGTCAAACGATGTATTTTAGAGTTAAATTACCGCATTCTGGTTTATCTCGATTCTAGAGAATTTTTTTTAACACCATGCAATTGAGAAAATGTTTGTTTTTCGTTTCAAGCTGACTCAAAACCATCGAAACCTGCTATCAAATCGTCAACATTACCACGAACGTCATCTCAAGGTAAGCTTCAGTGAATGTTAACAAAACTTATTTTTCCTCGAAGAAAATTATTCCCTAACCTTAGAGCGCGATCGCTTGAAGCCGGCTCCGCCACCAAAGCCGTTGGTGTTAGCAACCAATCAATACAACGCTGATTTATCGCTCTCACCGGAAGTCTACAATAATCTACGAAGTTTGCAAAAGAAGGCGAAAGATCTGAGAACAGAAGTTCGAGCAATGAGACGTCTAACTCAAACACAAGCGGTCGCTATACGGGAAGATATCAAAGATACCTTTATGAGAATTAGGGCGACATTGTTATCAAGTAGTGGTGCGCTGTGGGGACAATCTGACCAGGAACGGGTAAGTAATTTGTAGGAAATGTTACTTACATTTGTTGGTCTGACGTCCATTAAGATTTCAATTGCTGTACACCCAACAAACAATTTTAGCTGCAGACAAAATTTGCCTATACAAGCATATTTACTGCTAAAAGTGATAGTTGGGCAACGTTACGCCAACTAACTCGGTTCGTGGCTACTTGGCTCCAGTTTCTAAAGCAACCCACACTTTCTAGATCTTGCACCTTTAGGCCTAACCATCTAGCTCGCTGTGCCTCTCTGCGTCGTGCACAGGCCGTATTCGAGGCAAACATCAGTTTTGCATTCTTACAACGTGTCCCGCCCATTGTAGCCGTTCAGCTTTAGCGACTTTCTGGATACTACACGCAAAACAAATGCAAATTTTTGTATAATTCCTTCACGAGATAATTTCGCAATGCATTTGAGGATATAAACTTTGCATGCACTTTGAGGAAATATAACATAAAATTTTAATCTTACCGTCGACCACAACACAGAATCTGTTCAGGTCGCGAAACATTGCAAATTCTGCATACATTTCATGCAAATCTGTAATCTTACATTTCCCGGTTGGGTGTAACAATTTTAGCAATATAAGAGCTTATGCAGGCTTAGGCAGCTATTTTTTTGCCTGTATAAGCAGTTATGCAGCTAAAATTGTTTGTTGGGTGGGTTCACCATACACCCCGCCAAACATAGTCCCAAGCACATGTTGTTCGAAAACTCCCAGTGTTTGCTGGTCCATCTTGAGAATTATCCACATCTCATGCCCTTAGAGAACTACTGGTGTTACCAGCGTCTTGTACATATGACTCTTAGTATGGGGTGACAATGTCCACGTCATCACCACAGCAAATGAACTGGCTGGATTTAATGAAGATCGTGGCCCGAATGTTGAAGCCCAGATGTTTTATAGCACCTTCTAGCGCCGGAGTCAGGAAAGACCATCTTGCCTTGTCGAAGTCCTTTGTGTGTTTCAAACGAAAGATGATCTGAGAAAGCACTTTATAGGCTGCGTTAAGAATAGTGGTCACTCGGTAGTTCTTAAGTTCTAGCTTATCACCTTTTTGTAATTAGGCATATTACTTTCTATTTCCTCTCCTCCGGTAGCTGTTCTGTATCAGATCTTGATCTTCACTTGGTGCAGACAAGAAGGCAACCTATAAGGGCCCATTTTAATTATTTCTGCTCTAATCCCATCCCTCCAAGCTGCCTTGTTGTTCTTAAGCTGTTTGATAGCTATCTATCATCTGCTGACATTGTATCGCGTCTATGTGCCATTTAGGCGTTCATCGTAGTGCTACTTCCATTTTTCGATTAACTCACGTTCATGTGTCAAGATACCTTCCTTATCCCGACATATTTCGACACATCGCTCAAAATCGTTGTGGAATATGTTGGGTTTCTTAAAGAACGTTGTAAGATGTTTGCTTAGGTCTAAATAATGTTCAAACCCAGTTTTCCCAAAAAATTCAAAGTAAGCATACAGAACAGCCACAAATGTGTGCTTAGTGTAAATATAAGGTGGTTTACAGATGAACTACTAAGTTATCAATTGAAAATAATCATCATTTTTTGTTGCAGACTAAAATGACTAGAGATGAGGAAATATACAAACAAGAAGTAATACGATTAGAAAAGGATTTGAGTGATTTGGAATCATCAGTTGAAGGATTGCGTGGAGAGGTTATCAATCGTCGCACACGTGTAAATATGACGGCTGTTGAAGACATGGCTCTTGTATTGAGTCGGGCAAGGTATGTTATGTTGTCTTGGATATTTGTATTTAATTTAAAATCTATAACCCTATCTTTCTGTATGTTGATGTTGTTCCTTCTATATGATATGTATGATTTTTTTTTTCAGTAAAACTGTCGCCGAACTAAAGTTACGGTTCCCCATGTTGCAACAGGACTTGCGTACGTTTTTATCACTTGACATGGAAAGACTTTGCCGAGAAGAAAATTTCTTAAAAGAAGAGCCAGAAAGGTTGGAATCCGCTTTGAGAAGATGCAAAAAGTTAACTGGAACATTAGTTACGTTGAAAAGGTTTGAACTTTTTTTTATAGACTTTCAATTTGCTTTGTATTTAATAAATCGTTTTTTAGGCTCGCAAGCGTTCAAGAACAACGATTGCCTCTTCCAGAACCCTCCCTGTCGGAAGAGCCAGTGAGGTCTTCAGATGGACCTCCTAATCCCAATAAGGTAAGTTTAACTTGACTTTTCTTCTCACTATCGCTATAGTTGTTCACTTTTCAAGAAATAATTCGTCTGGGAAATTTTGAGATGATTAAAACGATATGGGAAATGTTTGTTCGATAACCCACTAAAATTTAATCAAAAATTGTTCATCCTAAAATTACCCAAGACGTGTTCTTAAATCATTCTTAAAGCTGTAATTAAATCGCTATTACGTTTTTAAACAATGTAACAAACACTAAGGGGCTATTCCTAAGGTTATACTATTAGTATTTGAAATTTCGCAACACAAACACTAAATTGCATACCATCAAAAATTATTGTGTTCCTGGTAGCAGAAAAATTGAAAATTTTAAGCAGATTCGTAAATGGTACTACTTTTATCTATCAATGATCTCTACATGACACTCAACTGAAGTGTTCTTCAATTTCGAGGTGGTTTTGTTTATATAATTAATTCTGGATTAAAATAAACTATGAACAGTGATTTTAAACGTCGATTCCTCACTCAATATAGAACACCCACGCAAATTAACTACTTCAGCAGAAAGAGCAAACTACTTCTACCAGCGGCTGCTGTGTCGGTTTGCCTGAATGAGTCTTAAGTTTCAAGAAATCGTCTAAAGCCATTGCTTACATTTGCTCTTGAAATTTTGAAATCTATGTTTAAATGTTAAGAGCGTTTGAGTAAAACATCATTGAATTTTTGTATTGTCGAAAATTATTTATACACAAAACTGTACGAACAAGGAAGAAATCCATCAAATCCGTGTTTTCAGCTGCATGAATCTCAACTTTCAGAAGTCATATAGTTTTGGAAATTAACCATGGTACTTGCTTTTTTGCACTTAGATACATTCTGAACTTCATAGATTGAGATTGAATTTGAATATATTTTAAAAAGTAATTGGAAACTTATCAAATATACAATGAGCTCGTTTTTTTTTATTAGATATGACCAAAAGCTACCCACTGGTGATCCAAAAGAAATAACATCATCTTGTTGTTATTTTTGCCTATTAGGCCTCAACTGGAGCTTTACCCCAGCTATCAACTTAGTGTTCTTTGAGTACTTTTACAGATGTCAATCGAAAGCTTTCTAAACCTTTAACATTTTTGCATTTGTATAATATGTGGCAAGCACAGAGATACTCGCAGAATTTTGCAACGAAAAATGTCTTCACCGAAACTTAAAACGAACCCGCAGCCTTCAGAATGGTATGCCATGTGATTTCTGGCTAGGTTGTAGTTAGGCACCGATACGGCTGCAAAAATGATGGTATGCAATTTATTCATATGTTTTGAACCAGTTTATGTTCTCCTTGTAATTTAAACATAGCATCCCATGAAATCATGACATTAATTAATTCCATCCTATTAGAATCATTCATCAAAATGTAGTAAATGATATATTACTGATTCAATCGCACTTTTATCAACAAATCTGATGACTTTGATGATTTTGATGATTTAAATAGTTTTTGGTTTCGGAATAAACCTGCAGCGAGTTGATTTCTTCTGTAGTAGTGTTTATATTCTTTTTGCTAGGTTCGTTGTGTTATGATGTTTTATCTTCCCTTTATGTTTGTTTGTTTGTTTGTTTGTTCTTGTGGTTTTTATGACTACTATTGCGTTTGGGCCTCTGATGAGTAGAATGTACATTTGGTTGATTTGGCGACTTTGACTGCTGTGATATTATTTGAATTTTTGTATTAGATTTGGTGTGTTTTTCAATAACATAGTTAATACTATTAGTAAACACTAACATCAAAGTCGTCAAGCTCATCAGGATACCCATTATGTAATATTGTTGAATTTGTTAATGTCATGCATACTTGACCCAAGCTAACAATACTAATTATATGGAAAATGCTGCCCAAATGCCTCGTTTGTTCATTTGACAGTCATATTTTCTACGATGTTGATGTGCTTCGGCCTTGTGTGTGTATTCAATCTAACTCCCACTGTCCAGCAGTAATATCAAAGATGAATACTAAGATGAAACTGTCGGAAGAAAAACTTTCTATTTTAGTGTCTTCTTTCACGGTCCCTTTCATCCAATGAGAACCCCCCGTATTCAAGGTAATTTTGTGGTTTTGCTGCCCCCTCGGAAAAGATGAAATTTTGCGCTCATTTTTATCAAAACAATCACACCAAAATCATAGATGTCCCATTTTTTAATTACTCGATTAACAACTAATCGATTATTTTTTGCTCGCTGTGCTGCCATTTTTCCACGAATGAGAGTGCAGCACATGTTTGAAACGATCGGTGATGATCCTGTGGAGATGTTAATGCTTATATCGGCATGATCTAACCGATTATAAATAGTTTACTTTTCGGATCGTTAATCGATTAAACGATTATTCGAATGAAAATCGGACATCACTAGATGAATGTGAAACGTCATTTCAAATATAAGGCCGTTCATAAATAATGATACAATTTGAAAGGGACCGGGACTAATCACAAATTACGTCTCCATGGTAACTGAAATAAACACGAGTGTTCACCGGTTGGTAATATTATGAAAAAAAAAAAAAATTGCAAATATTTATTATAGTGTTGATAATTGCAAGCAGCTTTACTCCGGGGGTGGAAGGTGAAGGCTTTATTGCTGATCCAGAACCCCGTTCCAGATCTCGAAACTTGGTGTTTCCAAATCTGGCACTAATTTAGTAGTAGCGGAAATCAAGCATTTTTAATTGACCAAACTCCAGCTAAGGAAACTTTGTTCTCTCACGGTAATAAATAAGTATTTTTCGTTTATGACAACAACCGGAAACATTAGTCAAATGCAGTCAAAACGCGAAACAAAACCGAGTTACATTGATGTGTACAAAAAATCACTTCCGCTGAATAATATCTAGCAACCAGAAATAAAAACGAGATATAAAAATACCCGAGTGTAACCTACAAAACTTTCTTTCGTGGTTATTATTCGGAAGGCAGAACGCTAGCAACAAAAAACGAAAAAGACACGGTAAAACTCTTCTTCTGGAAGTGGAGGCGGAGCACCGAAGCAAGAGGTGCGACAGCGCGACTCGACAGCAACTCAGTTACGCCAACTAAACTTTTGCCACCGACCTCGGCTGGGATTGAACCCAGACCCATAGGGGTGAGAAAGCAGTCACGCTTACCACTACACCACCGGCGCCGGCTAAAAAATGCAATACTTGCAGTCCATCAAGTCTGGAAACTCTAATGTTTATTTACTTTGCTCGTTTGACAGTTCAATTGTCACTTCTGGCTTCACTATTTGCGGGACTCTTATTAGCATCAACTCTTAGGCCGTTCGCAATGCTGTTGTATTTTATAAGGACTGTTTCAATTTGAAACTAGAACAGAAACGCACCTCTCGCAATGCTGAGTTGCAGTTTCATTTTTCGAGCACTATTTTGCACCAGATTTGCAACTGCTCGACTATTCTGTTTTAACTCTGAGCGAGTTTGAAACATGAATGGAACTCTGTTTCAAATTTCTTTGGATGTGTTTAAAGATGTTTCGAAGAGCTTCACAAACAAAAAACGGAGAACTTCATAGAGAACAGTAAAGTTTATGGAACTTGATGATGACAAACATCTTTTAGAACTGTGCGTTGCGCTGATCGTGTTGCAGTTTTATTTTTGACAGTTTCAAATTATAGAATTGACGAGTAGTTTAAAACAATTTTGAAACTCAGCATTGCGAACGGCCTTATTACCACCATCGCATCGTGACTATAGTCGCTATATTCATAGTCTGGCGGATAGAATTTCGATCTACATATCAGTGCCAACATTTCAAAGAGGCGTAATTGCTTTTGTAAACAATGACTTTAGCCGTCAATTTCTCGCGAATGAAATCTTACCTCTCCAAAATTACAATGCTAGCTGGTAGAGGTTACATTCCTCTACCTTCTGGTTTCATTATTTTTCATGAGTGAGCTTTTATTCGCGAGAAATCGACGGCTAAAGCCATTGTTTACAAATGCAATTACGCCCCTTTGAAATGTTGGCACTGATATATATGTGTACATATATGTTAGATCAACAATTGAAAAGGTAGTATGAACTTTTATAAACAAAACGATGAATATTCTTTCCTCGCCAATCGAAAGCAAATTACCGGCATCATCGGATAGGGGAAACTTTTGCCAACCCCAAAATCGTGTTAGTTTGCGTAGGCGAGCCTTGAGTCACGAGAAAGGGGTTTCCGAAGTTTTGTTCGCAATAGCTAATGTGCTCTTTTCTGTTGTTGGTCGTGATTTACTCGATTGGTTCCGCTATTTGACAGCTCAATTGGTCCCCGAGATTCTATCCGCCAGACTATGAATATAGCGACTATAATCATGACGATTGTTTATTTCCTCATGTTCACATGACCGAAAACGGATAGGGAACACTTTTCGAAGACCAATTTATCATATTGTCGAGCAGTTTTGTGACGACCTTCTATCCGCAATTTTTAGAAAATGAAGCAAAAAACTACATACTTTTCAAGCTAAGCATAAGTAAGACTCTACTTTCACGAGGTTCTGGAAGAAAAAATATTAAAATATTCCACTAAAAAGTTCGAGTGGTAGAAAAAGTCATTTTAAACTGCTCGAATATATGAACAAATGATAGCTCGGCAGTTCATCCAGTAATTTTGGGAGAAAAACCTATTAATAAGTTTAGAAAAACACATAAACAACCGCTGTTGGCCATATTACCCAGTGGCACGTATTACCCCACCTTACCCTACAGAAAAACCAGTTTGAAACGATTTTTTTTTGCTTCTATTTTTGATCGTGCTATCTCAAATTGAAACCAAATCTGATTCAGAGATCGATATTGTCCTCACTCAAGATTATCTTACATGAATTTTAATCCGGTCACTTTTTCATCTCTCTTTTTTCACCGATAATTCGTTATCGTCTCTCAAGTATAATGTTGAAATATAAGGGAAATGCAAGTAATGTCGGCCTAAGTGTCCCTAACTTGGGCGCATACATAAATTCAGCAATCGACTAAATTTTCAATAGC